AACAGCTCTTTATCCCATAGAAAGACATCAGTGCAACTCCCTGTTCCCTTTTCAAACGACACCAAATTAGATGAGGAATTTGGCGCCTCCGACATTTCTTTGGCAACAACACCTAAAGAACTCTACGTTGCTGACAATCTGGAGATATCCAGCACCAAATCTACATCTGGACCTTTGCCTAATGTTCCAAAAACTTATCAGAATGATCAGCCTTCTCTACTGTACTCCTGGCGAGACAGGATGGACAGATCTTTCAAATTCGAATCTGGCTCTTTGTTGGCCAGTGATCCACATTTTATAACACATTAATACTTCCACAGCCACAGATAGAACCAACATCCTCCAATTAACCCAGGAGGGAGAGGGGGGTTGACAGTTAATGAAACACCATGGGACTGTCCCCCCCGCTTGGGGTGCGGTTGGTTGGGTTTTATCTTCTAGGGATACTTACCCTATCAGACCTCCACCTCTTTCAGATACCATTTTGACCCAGGAGTCCTGGCCCAAGGATGACTTGTTATTGAGGGGATGTTACCCATCTATTGGGGAGGCTAGTATGGGGTTTGGATTTCCACAATTGAAGGGCTAGGGAGGAATGGCGGTGGGGCTAGATATCTCTATCGGCGAAGGGTTTCGAGATGCAGTGATCCTCGAACCCCTTCCAATCTACGCCCCATCCCAAGGGATGAGGGTAGGGAGAGCAAGGATTACACACCTCCGTCATTGGTGCTGTGCAATGCCAGGTCCGTAGGCAACAAAACCGCCACCATGCGTGACTTTTTTTCTTGCAGGGGATTGACTTGGCTTGCGTGACGGAGACCTGGGTACGGGAAGGCGAAGTAGTCTCCCTACATGAGATAACACCCCCAGGTTTCTCTGTCCTCCATCAATCGCGGACTGTGGGTCGGGGGGGAGGAGTAGTGTTGTTATTCCGGGAGGATTGCTCTTTCAGAGCTCTGCCATCACCAGCGATCTCCGGCATTGAATGTGTTGGTCTTGTGTGGGGCACCAAGGAGAGCTTGGCTGTCTGGCTGGTGTACCCACCACCCAGCACACCTGCAGCCACCCTGTCAGACCTGCTGGAGGTGGTGGCGGGCTGGGCCTTGGAGTTCCCAAACCTACTGGTTTTGGGAGACTTCAACGTCCATGCCGATGCCGCTCCCTCCTCACAGGCTCTGGACCTAGTGACTTCCATGGCAACACTAGGGCTCTCCCAGTTTGTTTTGGGCCCCACTCATCAAGCAGGCCACACACTGGATCTGATATTTGGGGCTGGCATAGATGTGATCATGCTCCCCGCTGTGGAAGTGCCATGGTCTGATCACTACGCTCTGAAAGCCAAGATTGACTTCCCGCTCCTCCCCGGCTCGGGTGGCGAACCTATTTGGGCTCGTCCGCGAAAACTGATGGATCCTGATAGATTCCGACAAGCCTTGCGGGCCACTGCTCCTCATTAGATGACCTTGTTGAGGACTGGAATAACCGGCTCTTGGCAACCATTGATGAGATCACGCCTAAGCGCCCTCTGCGACCCCATCGAAACCGGGCCCCTTGGTTTACTGAGGAGCTCCGGAAAATGAAGCGGGATCTCAGACAGCTAGAGCGAGTATGGTGACGGACTTGTGATGGAGCCTCAAGAACATCTTATAGGACGCTTATGAAAGCCTATGAGATGGCTATGAAAGCTGCTAAGAAATCTTACTTTGCAGCTTCCATTGCATCCGCTAGCTCTCGCCTGGCACAACTTTTTAGAATAATTAGGTCAATAACGTCCTTAGGAGGACAACCAAATTTAAGCACAAATTCGACCCACAGCTGTGAGGCATTCGCGAGCTTTTTTGCGGAGAAAGTCCTGTTGCTCCGCTGTGACCTCCCTGCCAATTTAGATACAGTGACTGAACTGGAGGCCCCTCGACTGACTTCAGGTCCAGTGTTGGACCATTTCGATCGGATACTCCCTACTGATGTGGACAGATTCCTCCAAGTTGGTAGGCCCACCACCTGCCTCCTTGATCCGTGCCCGTCTTGGCTGATTAGGGAGTGTCCAGATGTTGCGCGGACCCCCCTGGTTGAAATTATCAATTTGTCCCTTGACACGGGGACATTCCCAGGGGAACTGAAGGAAGCAGTGGTGTGTCCACTCTTAAAGAAAACTTCATTAGATCCCTTAGACGTATCCAATTACCGCCCAGTTTCAAATCTTCCATACCTGGGTAAGGTAATTGAGAGAGCGGTTGCTGAACAGCTTGGTAGATTTCTGGAGGAAACATCGGCATTAGATCCATTTCAGTCCGGTTTCCGTCCTGGTTTTGGGACGGAGACGGCTCTGGTTGCCCTAACAGATGATCTCCGTAGACAACTGGATCGAGGCGGGTCAGGACTGCTGATCCTTTTAGATTTGTCAGCAGCCTTTGATATGGTCGATCATGATCTTCTGGACCACCGCCTCGCAGACGTGGGGATACAGGGCATAGCCCGTAACTGGTTGTGCTCTTTTATCTCTGGTCGGGGACAGAGTGTGGCACTAGGGAGGGAATGTCGTCGCGCCACTCCTTGGTGTGTGGAGTGCCGCAGGGCGCAATTTTCTCCCCGATGCTTTTTAACATCTTTATGCGCCCCCTTGCCCAGATTATCCAGAGCTTTGGGCTGGGCTGTCACCAATATGCTGATGACACTCAGCTCTATCTGTTGATGGATGGCCACACCGACTCGGCCCCGAACACACTGACCAGATGCTTGGAAGCTGTGGCTGGATGGTTTCGTGGGAGCCGATTGAAACTAAATCCTTCGAAGACAGAGGTCCTATGGCTAGGTCGGGAAGGCATGGGGATGAGGGACCAACTCCCTTCTCTTGCGGGGGCCCAATTAGTGCCATTGCCTTCCGTTAAGAGTTTGGGTGTAATCCTTGACGCCTCCCTTTCCATGGAGGCACAGGTTACAGCAACAGCCAAGACGACATTTTTCCACCTTCGCCGCATCAAGCAGTTGGTCCCTTAGCTTTCCCGCCCCGACCTGGCCACAGTGATCCATGCGACGGTCATCTCCAGGCTGGACTACTGTAATTTGCTCTATGCGGGGCTGCCCTTGAAGCTGTCCCAGAATTTCCAGCAGGTACAGAATGCTGCAGCGAGGCTCCTCACAGGGCCTCTGCCATGGGAGCATATTCACCCAGTGCTTTTCAAGCTGCACTGGCTCCCGATGGAGTACAGGGTCAGATTTAAGGTGCTGCTTTTGACCTTTAAAGCCCTTCACGGCCTAGGACCCTCGTACCTACGGGACCGCTTCTCCTGGTATGCCCCACGGAGAGCCTCAAGGTCCATAAATAATAACACCCTAGTGGTCCCAGGCCCAAAGGAAGTTAGATTGGCTTCAACCAGAGCCAGGGCCTTTTCAACTCTGGCTCCGGTCTGGTGGAACGCTCTGCCTCATGAGACCAGGGCCCTGCAGGATCTGATTTCTTTCCGCAGGGCCTGTAAGACAGAGTTGTTCCGCCTGGCCTTTGGCTTGGAGCCAATTTGATTCCCTCCCTCCCTCTCTTTCTTTTTTTTTTCCTTCTCCTCCTGCGATGAGGCTACATTTTAATATTTTAATGTTCCATTATTTTAAGGTTGTATTTTATTTTTGTTTTTAAGTTGTAATCATTCATCTTGTTTTTATTATTGCTTGTAAGCCGCTCTGAGCCCGGCCTTGGCTGGGGAGGGCGGGGTATAAATAAAAAATTATTATTATTATTATTATTATTATTATTGTACTGCATGTTTGTTGTGCTACTCCCTCAGTACTTGCTGGTTGAGGTTGTGTCATACTAGCCTTGCAACACCTAAATAAACACCTTGTTTTGATTTCTTCTGGAGTCTTGATTTTATTCGCTGTTCAGACTGAAGCCACAGGGTATTGGGTATTGAGCCTCGGTGGCGTAGGAAGGGATGTGTTGTGGGTGCGGTCAGCCCCAGGTATCATCACTGAGGGGGTGACTTCGGGGCCTGGCCTGCAGTGTGCCCAAGCCACATGTCTCTCCTGGGGAGTGACGTGGTGACTCGGGCCCCTGCAGGCTCCGCACTGCCCAAAACAGCAACATGGAGCTTGTGGACTCTGTGGTGGTTCCACGCAGCATGCTTGCCCCGCTCTGTGGGCGGCTTGCCCCACCCCCAGGTGCAGGGCATTTGCGCCTCCCTGGGCACCCGAGCAGCTAGCTATGTCGCTGTTGAGCCTCAATATTTCCACCAACACTATTTCCCATAGTGGCTAACCAGAAGCCTGCAAACAGCACATGAACACAAATGGCTTCTCCTATTCTTCTTCCTCAGCATCTGATATTCATAGGCCTAGAAGTAATATGACATGTAATCATGACTAGTAACCATTGATAACGTTACCCTCCATGATTTTTTTCTGATCCACCTCCTAAGTTGGTACTCAACACATGAACATAAGAAGTGCCCTCCTGGTTTCTACCAAGAGTCTGCATTCTGTTCCCAAAGAGGCAAACGGGATGCCACTGCAAAGCCCATAAATGCAATAGCCCTCTTCCATTTTTTGTTCCCAGATGAGTAAAGCAAGAGCAATTAGGCAGTCAAAATATAGGGAGCTGCCTTATATATATTGAGTCACTGTTGACTCATGTAAAACTTGTTGTCTACTAAGAACTAAGGTGCCACCCATCTTACATTTGTGCATCTGGTTCTTCCTTCCTAAGTGTAGAACCTTACACATGTCTCTTTTGAAATTCATTTTGTTAGTATGGGACCAGTTCTCCAATCTGTTTAGGTCATATTGAATCCTGATTCTGTATTCAACAGCAATGAGTACCCCTCCCAGCTTGGTGTCACCTGAAAATTTGATGATTGTTAGTTAAGTATAGTAGCTAACAGTGTCAGACTAGGACTTGGGGAGGAGTGTATAGGTTCAACCTCACCATCATCACTAGAACATACGAAGCTGCCTTATGGCAAGACAGACCATACAATTCAGTATTATTGACACTGACTGGCAGTGACCCTCCAAGGAACCAGGTATTGAACTTGGGTCTTTCTGCATTCAAGGCAGATGCTCTACCCCCAAGCTATAGCTCTGCACCAGGAAACCCAGTGTGTGACCTTGGGACAGCTGCATACTCTCTCATCCTAACAATGATCTCACTAGGCTATTGATGTAGGATTGAATGTGGGAGGTTGTGATATGTAGGTTTCCTTGAGCTCGCTGGAGTGAAAGCCAGTATGTCAATTAATAAAAATTGCCCTGCTGGGTCACGTATGTGTGAACCAGCCCTTGAAAATTACAGATAACGAAGATCAAAAGGTTTGGGGGAGAAAAACAGAATATTCCACATTGTGGTGAGCATGACTTACCTTCTAAATTTACTAGCATTTAATAGAACTGTAATGTTCTCATTCTGCATTTTTACAGCAGTAGCATCAAAATATTTTACAGGGGGAACTGCAATTAAACTCAGCCAGTTCTCTTAGCATAATTTCGCCTTGCATTAATTTTTAGCAAACCAAGTTATGGGTGTAATATTCCTCTTGGTACTTGTGGTTTTCGAAAAGAGAATGAAATGCCTCTGAATGGTAATAAAAAATATTCCTTTACCAAAGCGAGTGCAGCCTTTTCCGCTTCCCCTTTCCCTTTATGAAAGATGCACATTAAGTTTCCTGGAGGTTTTAATTTCAGCAAGGAAGGGAAGAGAGCAAGTGGCATTTGTCCCTTTAAATTACAGTTTGCGTGTTGCTGTGCCCCCTCACTTAATCTCTCTAAACAGGTAATTTACTAGCTTTTGGGAAAGCACCCATGTGCAAGGAAATGTTAGTACACTCTGGGGATGCATTCAAGATTGATTGCAGTCTAACTCTGTGTACCATGCTAAGCTCTGTTTTACATGCACCTAAATCTTCAGTGATTTCCAGACAAGTAGAAGGCAAGCAGTCATTCAGCATAACGTTAGGCCTGGTCTATACACGCAGCCAAGGGGCAGCCCTAGTGGGGCTGCCCTTGAAGACAACTTGGAAACTTCAGCTGGTCCAAAATGCAGCAGAGGTTCTATTTACAGTTCCTATAGCCCCTATTTTAAATCAGCCACATTTGTTGCAGGTATTTTTCTGGCCCTTGTTAGTGCTTAAAGCTCTCAATGGCTTAGGCCCCAAAATATCTGAAAGAATGCCTCCTTCTCTACTGACCCACTTGGGTGTTAAGATCAAGAGACAGGGCCATCTTGGTAGTTCCAACTCCCTCTGAAGCTTGGGGTGGTGTTGACGGTCTGGGAAAGGGCCTTCTTTGTGGCAGCCCCTAAGCTGTGCAATTCTCTTTCCACAGAGCTGCATCTGGCGCCTTCTTTTCATCATTGAGGGGAGCAAAAGTGCTTCAGCCCTTAGGAGCCAGCATCTATGCTGTAAACCCTGCACTCCCTCCACTGAAATTTCCATGGGATAAGCCCCTGAAACTCGCTGGAATCTTTATTATTACCACTATTATTTATTAAATTTGTATAGTGCCCTTTACATGCAGGTTTGCTTGGCAGAAATTGGGGGTGGCTCATAACCTTCATAACAATACAATGAAGAGCACTCATACAATCCATCAATTATGTATTTCACTGGTCCAATCATGCAGAAGAATAAAGCCCCAATTGTAATCTAAATAAGTTATGTATAGGTTCACAAGACAATGAATATGGTATACAACTTACCCCAGGAGATCCCACCATAACATTCTCTGTGTTGAGGGTGGACTTCAATCATTATCGCTCTGTAAAGGACATTCACAAAATAGTTAAACAATCAATCCCTCTACCTAGGGAACTCTGAAAATTGTAGCTGTGTGAGGAGAATAAGGAACTCATAACGACTCTTAGCACCCTTAACAATCTATACCAGGGGTCAGCAAACTTTTCCAGCAGGGGGCCGGACCACTGTTCCTCAGATCATGTGGGGGGCTGGGCTATATTTTGAAAAAATAATAATAAACGAATTCCTATGCCCCACAAATAACCCAGAGATGCATTTTAAATAAAAGGACACATTCTTCTCATGTAAAAACACGCTGATTCCCGGACTGCCCGCAGGCCAGATTTAGAAGGAGATTGGGCCGCATCCAGCCCCCAGGCCTTAGTTTGCCTACCCACAATCTACACTTTCAAGGATTCTTTGCCAGATGTCATGACTGTTAAAGTGGTATGGTACTGCTTTAAATATGTGGTCCATACAATGTTCTAAGCTTATTCCCCCCTCCCCCATTCTATTCCATTTTATTCCCATTAAGTTTTGAAATGATTTGCTCCATTAGCACCAATTTAATAATGTTGTTGGTTTTTTGTCCGGGGTTTTTTTTTGGGGGGGGGTTAAAAATAAAATTAAAGATGGTAGGATAAATATGAGTGCAACTGTAATGAAATAATATTGCTAAATCAAGAAATTGCACACACTGTTGTGACAAGGAATTAGAACATTAAAGCACACTATGCAAGACATCTAAAGTTCAGCACCTTAGAGAGTTAATTAAGACTTAAGTTAATTGGCAAAGATCTTATCATTGGATGGGAAACAGAAGTGATGATCTTGTTTGTGCTTAAACAGAATAACTGAGGTCATTACAAGACTTTTTGGTGCATTATTGACCGATTTATAATTTCTTAATTAATTTTTGATTGACTTTCAAAGTATCTTGTAGCTTGACTGTTAATTATCTGACTTCTTATCACATGGGAAGGTAGAGATGTGCAGGAATAATGTTCATACGCTAAAGCTGCATTCATGGCCTTTACAGACAATTTCCTACTCTTAATAATGTCATTGTATGCGCTAATCAAGTACAGCCCTTACTGCTGATATACCAATCTCCTGCTGCATTCGTAATCAAGCTCACCTTTTGAGTTCACCAGAGATAGGATGATGTTTCGGGGAAGAGCTATGAAATTGTTAACATTTGCTATAAAACTGTAATGTGGCCCTTATCAAATGGATCTTAGCTGGCTCAACAATCGTGCCATTTTAGATCTAGAGTATTGTTTTTCTTCCAGTTAAGCACAATCCTCGTATTGGTCTCCAGAAGAAATAAGACAGTTTAAGGAGTGGCCTGAGGGTTTATCAGCTAGAAGTGTCATTCTTCAGGATTCAGTTCGGGACTAGCACAAAGCATTTTGCTGCCTAAGGCAAAAGGAAGATGGCAACCTTTCCAGTTTCACCTGTGGAAGCCAGATGGACCAGCAGTTGAATATTGCTTCACATTGCCAATGGGATGGCATCTTACACTACATCTACACTACAAGGTTCCAGGTTAGCTTAGGGCACTCCAGGCAGGCTGTGAAACAAGCACAGCACAGTCCTCGAGCATCACATTGCCACTCTCCACCCATCAACCACCAGATACACCTGTCGCATTCTGTCTAATGGTACAATTGGACCTGCTTGAAATTAATACCTCGGAGTGGATAGAAGGTATCTCTTGCCAGTAGTGTGATTCACTGCACATGAACTTTAAGGCACCATGCAGTGAGCAGCCTGCTGCTTCACACATGCCAGCTGCCAGATCTTTATTTCTATTTCTTAATGTATTTTAGGATAATTTGCATTTAGGGCACATGCATGTAGCTCCATGTGCATGAACATGAAGTCACCATGCAGCCCACAGCTTGCTATTCAACACTCCACAGCTGCTGAATTGTACTGTGAAACATTATAGGATACTTATATCTTTCTACCATATATTTGATCAAAATAACTGCATCACTAGACACAAGGTTTGTAAACACAGCAACTTTTAATGGTGTTCCATAATTGTGCAAGGATGTCATTTGTGTGGGCAGGGTGTTTGGCTCATTTCATCATTTTAATGGACGTGTCCCCCCCCCCACCCCCCCACCAACACACCTATGGAATATTTATATATTCTCTGATATTTCCCACCATCAGGCAACATTATTTCCTTACGAGCAGCACAGATAAGTCTTGCCAGTGCCTGTGACTTACGGTCGTATAGTTTCACGATGGATAATATAAAGGAGTACCACACAGAGTAACATAAAACAGCATTTAGTTTGCTGTTAAATCAACACAGAGAACAAGGCAAACACCAGGCCCTCTTTCCAATTGCTAGCTATGTTTTGTTTTAAATCCATCAAGCTGGTGGTCAGAAAATGCAATGTAGGCAGATGATAATACAGAGGAAGTTCAAAGGAAATGCATTTATTGGATAGTCTCCAGAGCATATGAATTTAGATTGCTAATATCTAATGGAGTTTATGCTTTTGATAGAGCCATGGAACCATTCGGTGTAGGTAAAATGTTAATGAGGCGGATTCGATACTTCTGTAAATTGGCACGCCCCTTCTTGTGGGCGTGGAAGGAGGGACTTGTGGCTGGACAAGCGAGTTTAGAAGATGTGTTTTTCCTGATGAAGATGTGTCTGAACTTGGGTTACCCCACTTGCAAGTGTGTGTAATAAAAAGGTTTCTTAAATCACCCATTTTGTCCAGATCACTTTATTTAAAAGGATACGGGGACCTTAAGTCAAAGGAACCAGTTTATTAATCTCCCACAAAGGTTCAAATAAAAAAATAATAACAATCCTTCAACTGCCAAAACAAATGGTCTTGCAGCACTGCGAAAACTAACGGATTTAGGGGAAACGTTTTAAAAATGGGAGGGTCAGGGGGCCTTGGTTTCTGTGGGTGCCATGGAGACCACATGCCACTCGTGTCACAAGGGGGAGGTCCTCAGTCATCATTTCTTTATTAATATATGTCCCCACCTTGAGGCCTAGTATGTAACCTGAACGTGTAACCCAAGGTACCACTGTACATTTAAAACACCCTTAGACCACTTTAACAGTCATTGATTCCACAAATAAACTGGGGACTGTAGTCTGCTGAGGGTGCAAAGAGTTGATAGGAGACAATCCAGTGTTTTCTATCTTACAATGACACTTCAGACAATCCAGATTCTCCTGAATAAAAGTCACTTCTAGATAACTGTTCACTGAGCATTCATTTTGCTGTTTGCACAGAGGTTAGAGAATATGGTGTTCATTCTGATTTGCTGGCAAGCAGGTTGGAAGCATTATCCCACACTTTCTAGGGAATT